TATTCAATCATAAGATTAGTCTAATATTTGTTTCATTATTAAAGACAGGTGAAATGTGTAGCCAATGCTTCTGTCACCTGTGTTTAATTTCTGTGTATAATTTTAACACAGCATCAGTTTACTTTCCTGAGTTTTCTATTTGTGGTGACTTAAAACAATCTCCATGTAACAGTACTCTACACGAAGATCCTCAAGTTCATATTTTTTCAGGTCTTTTTCTGTTTATTGTTCTTTCCACGAAAATAAAATTATTTTTCTTATTCTTACCACCTTTTATTGCAGATTAATGTGAGGGTACAAATAATTAGGTCACGGTGTTTGCATTTGTTAGGTAAAGCCCCTGTTGTGGTTGTGTCCCACCCCCAGGAGGTGGGCCATATGCCCTCACATTGTGTCCAGTAAGTGGGAACACGTCAATCCCACTTCCCTCCCTGCTCCCCTCTCCCCCTCCCTCCAACTTGAATTTAATTGAATCTTTCTCTTGTGTGGATGTGTCCTAGATCATCTCCTGGCTTCATATTAGTGTTGAGTACATTGGATACTTGCTTTTCCATCCTTGTGATACTTTACTAAGAAGAAGGTGTTTTAGCTCCATCCATGTTAATACAAAAGATATAAGGCAGTGGTTCTCAAACTTCCTAATACCCCAACCCACAGGTTGAGAACTGCAGATGTCAGGTCTTCATCTTTATTTATGGCTGAAGAGTTATTCTTTTTTTTTTTATGGGCAAAAGTTTTTCTTACTTATTTATTTATTTATTTATTTATTTTGAGACGGAGTTTCACTCACTTGCCCTGGATAGAGTGTGGTGACATTAGCCTAGCTCACAGCAACCTCTAGTCAAACTCTTTGGTTCAAGCAATCCTTCTACCTCAGCCTCCCAAGTAGCTTGGATTACAGAGAACTGCCACAATGCCAGGCTAGTTTTGGGTTTTTTTTTTTTTTTTTTTTTATTCCTAGTAAAGGTGGGGTATCATTCCTCTTAGGCTGATCTCGAACTTCAAGAAATTCACCTCCCTTGGCCTTCCAGAGTGCTAGGATTACAGGTGTGAGCCACCATGCCTGGCCTTGCCTATTTTATTCTGTCTTTTACATTAAGGAGGCAGCTTGAGTTTGCAATACGCTAAGCGCTATGATCTAGTGATATTTTAAACTGGTCCTACACTCAGTGTCATGGCTTCATGTTCTTCAAACATTATCCAGTCATTCGGTGTCATTGTGTTGTATGGTACCAGACCATAGACAGTTCAGATTTTCTTGATATATTATAGCAGAAATTTATAATATTAAGGACTACTCAACTAAATTATCATACAACAAACAGTCAAAAGAGATCTAATATTGAGTTTAGAAGTAGTTTTTTAATTGATCAATTTGTTTTCTTTTTTTTTCTTTGCCATTTCATGTTTGATTCCTATGACCTCAAATTCATAAAACAAAAGAGTTTTGTTTTGTTAGGTAGAATTCTACTACTTCTTATGCATGTGATTCAATTATTCAACAAATGTTTATTGAACACATAATATGTGCCAGTCTTGGTCTTTTTTTTCCCCCCCTAGGAGCTAGGGTATAGAAACAATGAATAAATAAACATAATTAACATGTTAGGAGAAGAAAAATAAAATTAGGGGAGGGCATAGAGAGTAAGCAAGGGAGAAAGTATATTATTCTACATAGGGTGTCGAATATTTGTTTGTTTGTTTTTCAGAGAAAGGTCTTGCTCTTTCACCCAGGCCAGAGTACACTGGCACGATCATAGCTCACTATAACCTTCAACTTCTGGGCTTACACAGTTCTCCTTCCCGAATCTTCTTACTGGCCAGGATGACCAATGTGAGCCCAGCTAATTTTTCTTATCCTTTGTAGAGATAGGGTCTTGCTGCATTGCTTAGGCTGGTCTTGAGCTCCTGACCTCAGCCTCTGAAAATGCTGAGATTACAGGTGTGAGCCTGTCATACATAGGGTATTTAGACAAAGTGTCTCTGATGAGATGCATTTGAGTAGAGACACAAATAAAACAAGAAAGTGAATCCTTCCCAGCTTGCAGATATCTAAGGGGATCATTCTAGGAAGAGATGGCAGCCAGTACCGAGCCTTCACATGCTCAAGGGAAGAATGGAATGGAAACCATCATGGCTAGAGCAGAGTGATGAACACAGAGTGGTGGGGAGTGGGAGAGGAGGGAACAGGAGCAGGGACTTCATATGGATCTGTTGGCCAAGGCCTGAAGTTGACAGTTTATTTTGAGTGAGCTAGAAAGTTACTGGAGGGATCTGAGTCAAGGAGTGACACGTGCTCTGGCATATATTTTAAAAGATGACATCAGTTAGTAGTATTACCTTACTTTTGCTGAGTAACAAATTACTACAAAGTTAGTGGTTTGAAATAACACATACTATCTCATAGTTACTGTGGGTCAAATGTGGGAGAGGAAGGGCCTTGTAGCTGGGTTTTCTACTCTGAGTCTCACAAATATGAAATCAAGTCATCCCGTTTGAAACTGAGGATGTTTTTCCAAGCTCATTGAGGTTGTTGGCAGCATTTGTTTCATTGAGATAGTAGGACTGAAGTCCCCAGTGTTGTGTGTGTTGGTTGGTTAGTTTCACTTGATTGTAAGCCTGGGCCTGCTCTCAGCTCCCAGAAGCAACTCTCAGTTCTTAGCCATGTGACCTCCTTACAGCCTCACACTAAGTCACTTCTTCATATCCAGCAGGAGACTCTCTCATACTTTGAATTTCTGTCCAATTTGCTAAGATGGAGTCTCCTATTATGTAACATAATCATTCACAGCACTAACTCGGCCATCACCTTCACCATGAATGGAACTCATCAAGGGAGTGACTCTCCCATCATGTTCACGGGGCCTGACCACCCTCAAGCAGACAGGACTGTAAAGTGTGGGCACATCAGAAGGGTGGTAATTTTGGAATTATAAATTTATAATTCCTCTTATACATAAATGGAAACAGAATTGTTGAAGAAGTAAAAGAGGACTCTGAAAACCACTTTGAAGGGACTGGAGATGTCTACACCACTGCTTCCCCCAATGCAATGTGAATTGAATCTCCTGGGCATTATGTAAAAATATAGGTTCTGATGTCATAAGACTACAGTAGCGGCCTAATTCTCCTAACAGTCCCCGAGGTGGAGACAGTACTGCTTGTAGAGAAGCAGGATGTAGGCAAATGATGACAGTGGCTTGGGCTAGGGTGGAAAGGGTACAAGTGAGAAACTTTTTGAAGGCAGATACAAAATGGCTTGCTACAAAGGGAACGGAGGCCTCAGGATGACATCTAAATTCAGGGGATAGCAATGACCAGAGGAAGAGCTTGTTTCAGGGCAGAAATCAAGGGTTCAGTGTAGAATGTGCTAAGATGCCCTTTACAATCCAAGTGGGAAGGATAGTGCCATGCAGTGGAAAATATTGTAGGAAATTCATACATCACATGCAGTGTTACGAAAACTTTCATATTTTACGTTTCCGTATACTGCAGGGAAAAGGGCTTCATTGATGGTGCTGCAGTTTCTCTCTCTACGTTTCTTGCATTGACAGTTATAAAATAAGCAGTGTTTCTTGGCCTGCATGCAAAAGTTCCTTACGCTGAAATCAACGTAATCAAATCATTAAAACTATTCCTAGAAGTCAAAATATGCATCACTGTGCACATTTCAGATATATTGTACTCAAACACTTTCCAGGAACAGAGTTAGAATTTACACTAATTTTTAGCACCTGTCAATGCTGGTGGATGCCTCACTATGAGACGTTTATGCCAGATTTTCCGTGACTATTGAAGCAACTTCATGTTGTGACTAATTATTATAACTTTTCTGGGCAAAATTACATAGAGTTAACCCTGTCACATTATGAGAGGTAGCCATTGGATCAAGCTTACATAAAAGTTAGTCCTTACTGACTCCCTTATGGTGTGGATTAGGGCTGTACTGAAGATAAGGTTGCTTATAATTTCCCTAAATCTCAATCATGTAAAATCTTGTTCTTACCAATTCTCATTTTCAGAAGGATCTAAGCTGAAAAATGTGCTGCCACCCTGTTCCTCCTCTGGTGGTTGTGGATATGGTATAGTTTGTGACCAACTTTAAGTCTTTGTCTTACAGCGTTTCAAGCATTTTAATAAAAACCTTAAATAGAACATAGCAGTGCCAAGGACTATTTGAATGTTAAGTTCATTTCCACTGAAATAAGGTTATAGGAGATGGTTCATAGTTTCAGCAAGGCATGACAAAAAAGCAACAAAAGGCAGTTTTTGTTTAAAGGACTGTTTATTTTGTGGAAGAGGTGAAAATTCACTTTATTGTAAGCAAAAATCTTTGTATAAAGCCCCATTTTGTTTCTCTTGCTATTAAACAGTAAAACGTGGTAGTGTTTGTGACCAGAAGACGCAGAAGGTATCTCAAGGATAGCCTGATGATTATGTTTTTATAATAAGACCCAGAACGCCTGGAAATTAAACCAGATCATTCAAGGTAGAGGGTGACAGTAGGTTGGAAGGCTGCTAACCGCGTGGAGAATGGTTAAAAAGTCAGAGCTTAACTCTTACTCAGGACTCCTTTCAGGCTGGGACCCTGGGCTACTAGGATTAACTCCTTGTATGACAATTAGCCTTTCTCAATTTGGAGTCTTTCTCAATTTGGAAGAATGTGATGGGTGAAAAGAGTTATTGTTAAACCCTGAACTTGGCATAGTTCTTTTACAGACCTCTTTTTTAGGGTTTCATATTAAAACCCCCAAAGCTAAAGTCAGGCATAATTATTTTATGAATTAGTTAAAATATATCTCAGTTTTTCCTACTGTTGTATTTATTTTTATGCAATTCGTTAACTACTTTATAATGTCATAAAGTAGTTATATTAAAATTATATATATATATAAAAACAGATTTTATTTCAAATTAATGTGACAGTACACATTTTTAGATTGCATTGTTTTGCACATGGTATTTTAGGACGCTAACTTCTTATTCTTTCTGTACCCTAGGTGCACTGAGCCAAAAAAACTGGGGAAAGAAATATCCAACATGTAACAGCCCCAAACAGTCTCCCATCAATATTGATGAAGATCTCACACAAGTCAATGTGAATCTTAAGAAACTTAAATTTCAAGGTTGGGATAAAACATCTTTGGAAAACACATTCATTCATAACACTGGGAAAACAGGTAAAACATTTGCATTCTACTTGCCTTAAGTATGTTTTTTGGACGGATATGTTTAGATTCGTTTTATCTCATTTTCCTTTGAACAACATACTATGCACTGGATAGAACTTGTTGGTGCACCAAGAAGAAACCAAATGGAGGAGAGAAAATTGGAAATTTAAACCTTTTGAAAATTTCTATAAAAAGAAAATGGCCAGTATGATCATGTCTTATTGTTTGAGCCATATAAAAATAATGATGACAGCACTACAAGAGACAGTGAAGATAATGAAATTTGTAGCTAATGCAGTTTAATCACTCCATCACTGGTCAATTACTTAGTCAATCAGGATTTTTTTTTCTTGAGCATTATAGCTTGATCTTTTCTGCTTAGTCTCATGCTATATTCAGTATTTGGATACGAAAACAAGTAACCAACTGTCATTGAAATTTCAGAAAATAAATCATTTGACCTTCTGTATAGAAAGTTTAAAGTTATATTCATTCCTTCCATGACACTGAGTGACTTTGTATCGAGACTATCTTTAGAAAAAAAACCCATGTAAAATATAATACCTGAAAATGTTTTTTTAATACATTTTGAACAAAAGTATATAATGAGAAGTTATATAAAAACAAATATACCCAGAAGACAAAGATTAGAAAAATATTCAAAATCATAACACTAGTTCTAGGGAGTGGTTTTATCATTAGTGAATTTTTTCTGTTTTCCATAGTCAGATAATTATTTGAATATCATAATTTATTTTCAAACCTCATGAGGGTTGATATTTCTATATCAGTGGCAGAAATGTAATAACCATTCACTAATTACAAACCTTATTTCTATTGTATTAATTAAATGCACAAAAGTATATGATCTGAAATCTTGACATTGTTGTGACCAGTTTGAAGGATGTTACAAAGCAGCAGGGCATATAGTTTCACTCTTATTTTTCTTAGGGGAGATGGTTAACGACTTGACCATTAGAGCTTTGCTGCTTGGGTTCACTACTGGCTTTTCAACAGTGTGGAACTTCAGTCAAATTACTTAACCTTTCTGTGACTCAATTTCATTTTCTACAAAATAGGAATTATAATGGGATGTACCACGTAAGGTCGTGTGAGAATTAAGTAGTTAACACATATAATTAGGGTCATACATGGTACATTATAAGTGATAAATAAATGTTGACTGTCATTGGTACCATTTTTGTTATTGTGTTTATTGTTATTATTAATGAAAGTGTATATACCTAGCTGGCTGACTAATATGTTGGATCCATCTCCTGTTGCCAAAAGCTGTTTCTGCTTATGGAATAAAAATCACTTAAATCTTTTTGAGAGACATCAAAATCTTGCCTTGATTTCTTAGGAAATATATCTTATATCATTATAAGACATAGTCAGATTATATATGCTGTGTGACTTAGGTAGGGAAGTTTACAATTCTGACGGCTGCCACTCCTGCTTCAAACAGGAGATGATTAAAACCCCTTCAACAGGAATGGGTTTCCCACTTTCCCTGCCATATCCTGGAAGTTCTGGAGCTTTGAAGCTTGGGAGGATGCTTAGAGGGATTAGGAGGCAAGACAAAAGCAGTGACCAGATAAGGAGTAGAAACGGGCTGCAAGGAAGATGGATGCATGCCCTGGAGAAGCCTGCTCTTCTCACTACCCTTCCATCCTCCCTTACTCTGTCTTCCCACTATCATCAGGTACTTAGGGAAGCGGAGCTTTGGAGGAGCACTAATCTTAGGCCACCAAACAGAACAGGTGCACTGGCTGTCCTCTGCTCTTGGAGTCATACAGTAGTTGAGGTCTTCAGCTTAGTTTCCACTTGTTGCAATAAAATGCATTAAGTATATTGTGAGAGCTATAACAGTGCTTTAATTTATCAAATAAATAATTTCTTAAAGTATCTTAGGTACAAAGAAATTTAGTTGAAATTTATAGTTTGATTTTTTAAACACTTAGATGGAATTTTACTATTTTTTTTTCTTTTTAGTGGAAATTAATCTCACTAATGATTACCGAGTCAGTGGAGGAGTTTCAGAAATGCTGTTCAAAGCAAGCAAGATAACTTTTCACTGGGGAAAATGCAATGTGTCATCTGATGGATCAGAACATAGTTTAGAAGGACAAAAATTTCCACTTGAGGTAAGCCAATAGTCTACTAGTTACTATTTTTATTTAGCATATAATTTAATTAATTTTAATTCAGATGTTAAACTTTATATAGTTATATTTTGGGGGTTTGAGTAACATTTGCCTTCCTTACCAGACAGAAATCACTGAGCAGAAGACCTACCTTTGATTTTCCATTGCCTGGAAACCCAGAGTGTCACAAAATAGGTGATCAATAAAGAAATGAAGGAAGGAAGGAAGGAAACAAGAGGGAGAATTCCTCAACATACTGGAGAGTCCTATGATTAAAATGAGAAAAAAATTCAGCTTTAAAATAAGCACAATAAATATATTTATAATAAATAATGAGTATGCAGAGAAATAAACATTTTCATAGTTTTCATGCATGTCTGGAGATACTCTAAGCTAGCAGACTTTCTTAGAACCAATTGATCATTTTTATCAAGAACTGTAAATGGTCTATTCCTAATATTGAACATTTATATTTGTAGCAAGTAAGTCTAAATCTGGATCTGTTTGAAAATTTATGTTCAATAATGTATTCAAAACAGTAAAAAATTGAAACAAAGGCAATTTTTAAATACATTTTGATGAGATGTAGGTTTTGTAAAAGGATTTTGAATGATTCATTTATACATAAAAAGTCTCATCATAAAATATTAAATCTTTTAAAATGTAAACATAAAATGTTGTAGCCAGTATTATTATTCCAATTTTATAAAACATGAAAACTAAGTAAATAGTGACTGAGAATAAAGTCTGAGTCAATGGACTAGATTTGAACTTGGTTCCACCACAGTTACTAATTACATTGTGCAAATTATTTACTTTACCTAAGCTTCAATTTCTCTCTGTGAAATTAACCTAATAGTCATAGTACCTGCCTTATAAATTTATTACAGAGATTAAATGAGAGAACAAATTTTTATCTAGCAAAAGTAATTTAAAAAAATCAAGAAAATATTCACAGCAATTCCCTTTGGGTGATGGCATTATAGATGCCTCTTATTTATTGCATTAAAATCCCAGTATTTTCTAAATTACCCATAATAAAACTGGGTTACTTTATAATTCAGAACAGTTGTTGATAATAAAAATAAAACTAGGGTGTATTGTCTCTTACAGAACTAAAAAGACTTTGGGGGGAGTGTTTTTGGTATAAATAATATCCTTAAAGAAAAGAGGATTTTTCAAGCTTGTTTTGTCAAAAATAATCAACTCATTAAACACATCTTGATTTTGAGATTTTAAGATTTTTTTCACAATATGACCTATTTGAACAAAGATGAAAATCAAGAAAACCTATCAATGACAAAAGCTCTAAGTGATAAAAATAAACGATACAGAATCTGTACACTAAATCTCATATGTATTTTATACAAAAGCCTTTCAAATCATTTCTCAGAAGTATTGTTTGTGTTATCTGCATGCCACATGGTAGCCACAAAATAAAAACCTACAACAATTCATAAAAGATAGAAAGCAAGAAATTAAAACCTACTACCAAAGAAAATCACTTCGGAAGACAGGAAAGAAGGAAGGAAGGGAGGGAGGGAGGGCCAACAAAAACAACCAAAAAACAAGTAAGAAATTGGCACGTATTTGTTTGCTTGTTTGGGGGTCTTTTTTTGCAGATTTTGGCCAGGGCTGGGTTTGAACCCACAACCTCTGGAGCCCTAGTCCTTGAGCCTCAGGCACTGCCCTGTTTGCTCATTTTTGTTTTTTTAAATACTGTTCGTGTAATTGCGCGAGTAGAGAAACTAAGGAGCATCCTTGGCTGGCTCTTTGTTTCTGGTTTCCTGCGTCTTACAAACTGGTCTTCTCATTTCTGTCCTGATATGATTTGGGGTATTCAAAAAAAGTTGAAGCTGCCATTGTCTGTTTAATAATTGTTAAGTCAATTTCCAATGATTGTCATACTCTCGGGCTGGTCCTTCTGACCCAAATCACACATGTCCATTCCTTCTGCCTTTCACCTGGCAGAAATGCTGGTCATTCTTCAGGGGTCAGCTTAGAAATCCTTTCTTTAAGAAGCTGCGGTGAGCCACCCAAAGTGGGAGCCATAACCATTCTCTGCTTCATACCTTCTCTTCTCCCATCAGAGCACTAACCACACTTTAATCTTCTCAGGCGCTCTGCACTGTCACCTTAATTATCCTATTTCGCTGAGTGCGTGATTTTCAAGTCTATGACCTGACAAGCACCGAATTACAAATGGGAATAAAGGCTGATGGACTAAAGTAGAAACTAACAAAGAATAACCTCCCAGCAGGAAAGGAGAATTAAAATATGAAACTTTAAACTCTTCAGGTATTTTTTTAGGGAGAAGTCGAGAGTTCTCGAAAGATTTAATATTAACAGAGCACAGTGTAAAAATGATAACTCTGAGCCATCAAGAAAGGCCTACACACTCAAGAAAGTGTGAAACCCATATTGAAAGACTTCCAGCAAAATAGTTAAACTAATATGATAATTTGGTAATTGCTTGAGTAGATGTTACAGTGCTATACACCCTGGGAATCTCAAAGTGGTAATTTCTGGGTTCTATTATACGTGCTTCTCTGTGTCTCTTCCTCATCAAAGGATGATAAATGATTGTAAATGTAGTTGTGTGTACATGTAATTGATAAAATATTTTGAAAATACAGAATGTAGAGTTACACACTTTATATAATCTTTTAAACCTAATTGATTGAATTAGTCAATTATTTTGTTGCATCTCTTTGCTGACTTTTGTAAAGTCTCTGTCTTTCTTTTTGCTATCGTTGTTTCATTTATAGATGCAAATCTACTGCTTCAATGCCGACCGATTTTCAAGTTTTGAGGAAGCAGTTAAAGGAAAAGGGAAGATAAGAGCTTTATCCATCTTGTTTGAGGTAATCATTACAGACAGATTGAGGACTAACTTCATTCCTCTGTTAGTCACATTAAATATCACTGCGAGATACCAAGACGCGTTTTCTAACAAATACAAGAGCTCACGAGCAAAATGACAACTCCGACCACTTTTTTAAAAGATGACCATTGGCTGGTATTTTTAAAGGAGACTCCTGTATGCCTTGCTTGGCTGGGTCTCTTGCAGTTGGAGCAAAGTGTTCTGTAAGATTGATCTGCATATCAAACATCAAAACGGTGTGGCAGCTAACTCTGAATCATACTATTTTTAAACTTTTTTTTCAGTGGAAAATGTAAAATTTTTCTGGTTTTCATCGGTGTTATTTTTGTTTAGCTATGGAAAAGGCGTCTTTGGAACTCATTTTGAATACCAGCTTGTACATGTCTTTAAAATGGAATTCATTAACCTTTACATTGAACAATTTATCAAACATATTATCCTATTTTTAGAATATCATTCTTCTTTAACAGGTTGGAATTGAAGAAAATTTGGATTACAAAGCAATTATTGATGGAGTCGAGAGTGTTAGTCGTTTTGGTAAGCTACCTGGAAAAGTATCTTTCTTCAAGATCTACTTGGGACAGTTATGAACTTTTACAATATGGCAAAACTCACTTGTTCCAAAAGGTGGAAAAGACTGTATTTTTATAGAGGAGCAATCTTTTACTTCTCACATTTGACGAATTATACATTTCTCACCAAGTAAAGAACAATTTGTCAGAAAATGTTACATAAAAATCATAAAATATTAATGTAAGTGGGAAGTTGAAAGTTTGCTAAATTTATTATTGAAAACAATTTAATTGTATCATGCATTTAAAACATTTATCTGTTATATCTCTGCACTGTATATCTCTTACAGATTCTAAATGCTAAACTAAAGCCAGTTGATTTTGTAAAAATCATACTTTAAAGTAAAAATGGCATTGTTACTCAAGTTACCACTTATTCCCTGCTGGTTTCCTGGATAAATCCTTTGCTTTACTAGAATGAAAAAGTTCTGCTTACATAGAACAAGATGCAAGATGTTTTGACATCGCTCTGCATGCCACCTCTTGGATATTGTAATTTGTCACAGCAAATGCTTTTGACTACATTGGCAATTGACTGCAGACTTACTAATATTGTTATTATATTGTTATTATGCCCTTTCACACGGGGTATTAATGCTGGCCTTGTATCAATAAAATGAGGATTATTGTCTCTAGGAAGCTACAGGATTTGAAGTCAGGAACAAGACTCGTATAGATCTCTTTCTGGAAAGCATAAGCTTGACCTAGGATTGATTTATTTTTGTCAATTACACGTGAGGATCTGAATTGACCAAACTTTTCAGAAGTCAGAAATAAATGAACTCCTGCAGGGAAGCTTTCATTTTTTTTTTTGTTTTGAAAGTCACAATCAAACACAAGATGAGACTGTTACCTCCCTCTGTCCACCCTGATGGCAGAATTCAGTGTTGAGAGCCAGAAGCCACACTTAATTTTCCCTTCCTTGAGTCAGAAAGTGGATTCTATCCAGACTTCAGGGAGTAGCTAGTTTGAATTCCTGCACTTAAAAATGTATAAAATGTGAGTTGAATTATACTGTTCCAACTTTACACCAGCCTCTGAGGACAACAAAAGTGATGTTGACACTGGATTGTTGACCGTAACTTGAATAACTGTGGGACCTTGGTCATTTTCTCTTAAGGCTTCTTTCTTGTCTGGGGGGTTCTCCAGAAAGGTGCGCATTTAAGCTTAAGAATAAATTTGCTCATGTTCTTTGGCTGAAGTTTTCTTTTTAATATCTATTGTCTTCAAGCCACTGAGGCAGATACTTTGTCAGAGACACTGTGGTCACATAATACCGTCTTGGAGATTATGGATTACCTAACAGCATTATTCTGCCTCTATCCTGGACCTTAATTTAGAAGCAGAACTAATCGTTCTCGGTCTGGCTGGGGACAGAGAGTAGTCAACCATCCTTCTCCCTGTTTCTCTGTCCAGCTACTTGTGCACAAACCTTCTACTTCCTCTTTTATCAAAAAGCAAAAATCCTCCGTGCTTATCAACTCACTCATCTAGATACTTAATATTTCAGTATGCTGAGCAAGAATGTCTGCCAAACTAAGTAAGTTGAGTCTTTCTAAAGTTAAACATTTCTATTTTGTGAGTTCTTAAATCTGGTTCTATCTCAGACTCTAGAAAACCCCGACTGCCCAATGAACTGAAGGCTCCCCAGTATTGACTGAGGGCCAGCCATTGTTGCTGGGGACCTTGGGGATTGAGGCAGGACTGGTTTAGACAGTGAGTCTGGAACCACAGCTCAACTCCCAAATCCTGCTCTGCGTTTCTAGATGGTATGCATTATGAAAAGCAACACTTTCCCACCATTATTCAGAGTATAGAATCTATCTTATTACTCTGCGGGCTGGGTGCTCATTTCCTGCATTCCTAAGAGACAAAGCCCATATCTCATTCCTTCCCTCACCCATCTCTCTTTTCTCTTCTCTTCCTTCCACCTAATCTACTCCCTGTAAACAAGGCTTGTTCTGTGCATGGAGTGGAGAGAGAGGGCAGGAAGGGCATGAGGTTGCCGCAGTACAAAGACAATACATTAATATTTCCCAAGCAGAGCCCATAAAAACCTTAGTTGAAATCTTTCATGTTGCAAGGAAGAGACAAGATACACCCAAGGTAACACCAGTCATTTTCAAATAGGAATTTCTCTCCAGAATGATTTAAGGTACTTTCTTAATCTCAAATTGACCTCAGAGATTTTTATAATAGAAAATCCTCATGGCCAGTTGTGATGTGGCCCCATCTTAAATATTATTGTCTTAAGTAATAGGGGGTAATTGTAAGAATTAAGCATCTCTTCCCTAGTGCTTGGCCCCACTGTGGTCTGTGCCCCTGTCTTTTCCCTTCTTGCTGTCAGCCTCCCCATGGAAGGATCTCAGGAGGTGCTGGTTAATCATCATCGTATGTTCTAGCATGCCGTGATTGCATGAATGACGGACTGATCCCAAATAAAGCAACGCTGGCTCAGGTGTGATTCGTTCTTGTGTTAACAATCGTGAGGTTATTCACATGAAGCATGTATTTTTTTCCTAGCCAAAAACAAAAAACAAAGCAAACAGAATAAAACCCCCAAACACCATAGTCCAATTTTCTCAGAAGACGTAGTATGACTGAAAAGTACTGTTATAATCAAAAAGTCTTGGACAGGAGCTTAAAAAATGTATGTAAATTAAAAAAAAAAAAGGTACAAACTACTGTGTGACTAAGTGACCACTATTGAGATTCGGAGGCAGGAAGAATGAATTCCATACTGGAAATAAGGGAGGGAAAAGCAAAACTTTTCTTCTGATTCTTTCCCTTCCTCTTAACATTTTTCCCCTTTAATTTTGTTCCCAATGTTAAGAAAATTCTCTATCTCATTATCCCCACTCAGGTCTCACCTCTGCTTTCCCTTTCCTGGCCTCTAGGACTCCTGGTGTCAATTCATTTTCCCCCTAATTTAACAGCCAATTTCTTGCTTTGTATTCAAGTAGCATTGTCCACACACACGCTTGCTTCCGCAAAATATTTGTAAGATAGATTTGTCTTAGTAGAAAAAATATCGCAGTCCAAATTAACAATTAAGAAGGATGTTACTTAATTACGAATTTTTTCAAATATTAAAAACATAAATCTGAAAGAAAAATTCACAGATTAAAAATAAATGTTTTCAATTTTCAGAGAATTTGAATTCTGATTATCTTATCTTGACATTGGCAGAAAGGAGGAAATACTTCTAGAAGTTACTAATAAATCCCTTGTTTCAAACCCAATTTAAACTTTCTCCTGGATGTAAGTTGTATCAACATGGCACTATCAAACCAGTCAAAAATCTTATTGCTAAGATTTAGTTTTTAACTCAGACTGGAAGACGTTATCTGCAGCTTTAAATAGTAACAGGACTCCTCTTTTCCTTTGAAGTTTATATATTGCAAAAAAAGAAACTTTTAATGATTTAACTTTTAAATAAAATTAAATTTCTCTTTGATGCTTTCTGGGTTATGTTCAGTCTTCATAGAATGTAGTGCCATAATAGAGTACTAAGACCAATAGTTCAGTCATTGCATTTTATGCTGTGGAAAGAATAATTCAAAACGCTAAAACTTTGCAAAGGTTTCATTGTACATGGGGTTTTTTACCCTAGCAACATGTTTGCATCACCTGGAGATGCTTTTAAAATAAAGATGCCCAGTCCCTGTGGCTAGAAAACTTAATTCTCGTGATCTAGGGTGGGGTCTGAACCATTGGTATTTTCTTAAATCTCCCCCAGATTATTCAGATAAGGGTTCCAACGAATGCTCTCCACTCTGCCACCTCATCGGTTGGCTTCAGGAACACTTCTTAAAGATCTAAAATTTGTGGAGAGAGTAGAGAACTTGCACCAGGCTGGGTAGTTAGGAGGAGGGGAAAATGATTTAGACTCCTAAGCAAATTGCTGCCTGGTTTACAAATAGCTCGAGGCCAAGGCATCTATTCATCATTTTTTGTGACTGAGTAGCATATATATATACATCACATTTTATTAATCCACCCATGAATTGATGAGCACTTGATTCCATATCTTTGCAATTGTGAGTTGTGTTGCAATAAACATTTAAGTGCAGAGATCTTTTTTGATAAAAAGTTTTTTCCCCCCCATTGGGTATATATTAAGTAGTGGGAATGCTGGATCAAATAGTCTACTATTAGTTCTTTGAGGAATTTTTATACTGTTTTCTATAGAGATTATATTAATCTGCAGTGACACCAATAGTATGTAAGCATTCCTTTCTCCTGCATCCAACTGACATCTAGTGTTTTTGGACTTTTTATAAAAGCCACTATAACTGGGGTGAGGTGATAGCCCATTGTAGTTCTAGTTTATATTTTCCTGAAGATGAGTGATGTTGAGGCTTTTTTGATAAGTTTATTGGCCATTTGTCTATCTTCTTTCAGAAAGCTTCTGTTCATGTCTTTTGACATATTTTTAATGAGAGTGTTTTTTCTTGCTGATTTGCTTGAGTTACTTGTAGATTTTGGATATTATCCCATTTTTGAATGTATAGTTTGTGAATATTTTCTCCTATTCTGTAGATTGTCTATTTGCTCTGTTGATTATTTTATTAGCTGTACAGAGGCTTTTTAGTTTAGTCCAATGCTATTTATTTTTGTTGTTGTCGTTGTAATTCCCATTGGGGTCTTAGTTCTAAATTCTTTGCCTCAAGGTTATTCACAATAGCTACAAAGAAAATAAAACACCTGAGAATATACTTAACCAAGAAGTTGAAATATCTTTAGAAAGAGAACCATGAAGCACTGAGGGGAAAAAAAAATGCAGAGGACTCCAATGAATGCAAAAGCATTTCATGCTCATGGATTGGTAGAGCAACATTATTAATATTTCTACACTAACCAAAGTGATTTGAAGATTCATTAAAATTTCCGTCAAAATGCCCAGGTTATATTTCATAAATCTAGAAAAAATAATTCTGCACTTTGTTTGGAACCAGAAAAGGACTGGAATAGCAAAAGCAATCATAAGCTAAATGAACAAATCTGGAGATATCACATTGCCAGACTTCAAACTATCCTAAAAGGCTATTGAATCCAAAACAGCAAAACTATGGTACAAAAATAAAGACATAGGTCACTGGAATAGAATAGAAAACCCAGATATAAAACCATCCATTTACAGGCAACTGATATTTGACAAAGAAGACAAGTGCCACTGGGAAAGAAGGCTTATTCAATGAACTGTGCTGAGAAAATTGGACAGGCACATGCAGAATATTGAAACAGGAGCTTTTACTAGTCACAAAAAATAATTCAAGATGGACTAAAACTGTAATGTAAGGCATGGAACTATAAGAATTCTAGGAAAAAGTGTAGGAAAAACTCTTTTAGGCGCCATTTAAATTTTATCTTTTTGTTGTTGTTGTTAAAGACCAATTTTTTTTATTTATTTATTTTTCAATTTGATTCTTTTTTTTTTTTTTTAGATCATAGCTGTGTACATTGATACTGTCATGGGGTACAGTGTGCTATTTTTTAATACAATTTGAAATATTTTCATCAAACTGGTTAACAGAGCCTTCATGTCATTTTCTTAGTTATTGTGTTATAAGACATTTATATTCTTCATTTAGAAAGATTCACATGTACCCTTAAAAGATGCATGTTGACTACACTCACACAAACCATGCACTCAGTGTTCCCTGTACATCAATTTGGGGAAAATTTACATCTTCCCAACACTGAATCTTCCAGCCCACAAATACATATTGTCAGCATATATTTTATTCTCTCAAGAATATTTTGTAATTTTCAATGTAGATGTTTTACAGATCATTTTTAAGATTTACTTATATTTGATTGTTTTTGCTATTTTAAGACATGTTGCTTTAAATTTTATTTTCTGCTGTTTAATGCTGGCATGTAGAAATACAGTTGGTCTTTATGTATTGATCCTATGTGCATTGACTTCCCTAAATTCATTTATAAATTCTTACACTCTGAACTTTTTCAATATTATATGCACGATTATGGTTTTGCAAATTCTGATGGTACTCTTTCTATACAATCGATGTGACTTTTTTCTTACTTGATTGCATTGGCCCAGTTTTCCATTCAGTGTTAAATAGAAATGGTTATGACAGGATATTCTTGTCTCATTCTCGATCTCTGGGACAGACACTTTCAATAAGTCATCCTTAAATGTTATGCTTTATGACTTTTGAAAATAATCTCCATCAGTGTAAAGCTGTATTTTTGTCTTCCATGAGCTGATATTGCATCTTATCTAATGATAGAACTATATCTATTGAGATAATCATGTAATTTTTAAGTATCTTTTATATCTAAAATATTATCTTCAGCATCTTGATGTTGTAAAGATAAGGTATGTAACACTGCATAGTGATATATATATAACATAATTTGGAGTATGGAGTATGCCATCTTTATCTCTGTTTGTTAAGTGCTTCCCACATGTTCTTAAAATTTTAGTTCTGATAAATGCATGACAAAAAGGATGTGTCTCTGTTTCATAGAAGGTTTGAACAGCTAAGTTCCAGTGCTGGGATTTCAACTGAATTGTATATTTTTCCCTTGTAGGGAAGCAGGCTGCCTTAGACCCATTCACATTGCGGAACCTTCTGCCAAATTCAACTGACAAGTATTACACTTACAATGGCTCCCTGACATCTCCTCCCTGCACAGACACCGTTGACTGGATTGTTTTCAAAGATACAGTTAGCATCTCTGAAAGCCAGGTAATCTTTGACATTCACACAAATGAAGTGCTTTGAAGCAATTTAAAAAATATATTTTTTAGCTTTGCATTAGAATATCTGTTGTAAAGCATTTACTTATGCCTTTGAAGCAGATATGCTAAATTATTTGGTGTTCTTTCCAGTTGGCTGTGTTTTGTGAAGTTCTTACCATGCAACAATCTGGTTATGTCATGTTGATGGACTACTTACAAAACAATTTTCGAGAACAACAGTACAAGTTCTCTAGGCAAGTGTTTTCCTCATACACTGGAAAGGAAGAGATTCATGAAGCAGGTATGCATTGAAACATAATTTTTCTGCAATTCTCACAGAGCTGATGTTACAGGAGGTAATTGTGGAATGATGGAAAATATACAGGACTTAGAATTTTAGAAATATTTTCATTATTAGTTTTGTAACTTTAGGTAAGCTGTTTAATTCTTTGAATTTCTGCTACCACATCTATAAAATCATTATCAGAGAATCCGTTCTTCCTCATATGAACAAACTCATTTTATAAGTGAGAAAAACAAAACTGAGATTCAATAAAAAAAGTTATTTTTCCAGAATATCTAGCAAAGTTACATACATACGTCCTAATTCACTTTATAGCCTGGTGTTTGCCTGGATTAAGAGTGGTAATTTAAGAAAGGAATGAATAAGAGGATGAGGTGTTCAGAGGTTGGGGATATCACCACTGTTTGAGATGATTAGGGAACCTCCATGGAGGAAGCATATTTGAGCTGATTCTTGGCACTTGTTTGGGTTTTCAAGTGAATTGTTAATGATTTCAAAAAGAATCTTCTTCCTCTTTCCTTCCTTGGAGGAAAAGAAGTATGTTCTTGGTAGGTGCAGCCAGTGGAGATGACACCAGTAGGGGTGTCTCTGAAATGCCCTTTGTGTATTTTGAAGAAGAAAGATCAATCAAAAGTCTTTAAAAATGTCCGGTGAACACAATCAGATGGATCTGTTGATTTGATCTTTTCAGTTTATGGAGAGATTATGCCAATTCATGAAAGACATAGTTGAAGTGGCTTTCGTTTGGGGACTTACGATCTTTCAAGTAGATGGTCTTCTTTGATCTCAGCCCTGCAATGAATTTTTTGCCATGTGCAATATTAACTTAATAATCATCTTCTTTTGAAGATTAGGCTGTAAAACAACATGGTTTTATATTAATGTGGTATTTGTGAAATTGTTTATCCTTTAACAAAAAAAATAGAGCTCAAGAAAACAGTGATGAATAGCTATATTTAATATGACATTAAGTTTCAAATTAAATTGCTCTGAAGCGAGACAGTTTAATTATATTTCTCCCAGCACTATGAAATACTATAACATCCTGTCTGGTAAATAATAGACAATTGATTAGAAAAAAAAAGTGAGTTTAATTATCCCTTTTTCCCAACGTTATAGACCAAATAACAAATTGACTATTTTTCATGGACTTTTATCAATTATATTTTATTAAAACCCTCTGTGGCCTTATTGCTTTTAGAATACAATCCAAACCACTTGTCATTGCATAGTAAGTTCTGCTTACTTCTCCTCAACTAGCACCCTTCTCTTGTGTTGAGTCCATGAAGTCTCCTGAAGATAAAGACCACATGGTTCTAGGTTGCATTTACGAACGCTGTTTCCCTGCCTCCTTCTCATTCTTCAAAACTTTAGTAGGAAATTGCATTCACAGGGAGGCCATCTGTGACTCTATCACCCCAAGTCTGGTTCTGGCACCAGGCACGGGATTGCACACTGAGGAGGCACCATACCCAAAGAGTTCGTGGCAAATGATACTCATCTGGAGTTGTGCATCAGCCAGAGTATGCCATACTTCATAGGAGTTGCCGGAGAACAGGATTTATCTGTGTACTTATTTGTCTTACCCACTGGACTCTGAGCCTTGTGAAGGAAGTGACTAAGTTGTTTAGTCTCTCATTCACTGAATAGTCACTGCATGACTGAAAGAATCCATTTCTATATAATAGAAACATAGAAGGTGACGCTTGATGTGTGTGCTTCCTGCTCTGTTCACTGTGTAATCTACATATAATTCTGGTTTAATGTAGAACATGGCTTTCACAGTTAACTGCTAAAGACCCAAAGAAACGATAGTAATAACAAAAGTGGTAATAGCCGCTACGTATTTTGTGACTTCTCCAAAAATTGAACTATACAGTATTTGATTTAACCTTGTATCACTTTTATTACATTGGCCTCATTTTCCAGTGTGGGAAGCTATTTTAGAATGGCTTGCCAAGTTTACACGACCAGAAAGGGGTAGAGTTGGGATTTGAACCCAAATCTCCCTGATCGTAAAACCTTGCGAAGTTCTCCATTGTGCTTTATGTTTATGAAGAAACGTAATTTCTCCTTATGTAATTTTTTCATATAAACTGATGACCTAGTGATATAAAACACCAAAAAAAAAAAAAATAGTATTGGCCTTTGAATGCTTTATTTATCCTAAGGTCAAACACAGGCAGATTACTTGCCAAACTACTTGGTGTCCGGGGGCTATATGAAGGTACCATGGCTCCTCTACGCTGGCTCCACTCAAATCACTTTTCTTCTCAAAGGGCAGTTGTATATTTTAGAATTTCATGTTTTTGCTGCAATACTGTTGTAACTGCCAGACTAATAATAATTTATCACTTATTTGTGGTTTAGCTCCAAAATGATTAAAATGGTAGAAATGACTAGGGAAAAAAATGGACTTATTTAAAGCGAAGGGATGTGCTGTCACCAGCAGACAGAGTGGAAATGTTTGTGGCACAGCCGGGAGAAGGGCTCGAGTACAACTTGGACTTTACCTGACAAACGCAGACAGTGTAACCTCATTGTTTGTACCCTCATATTAATCTGCAAGTTAATAAGAAGAAAAAAATGCAAAATTTAAGAAAACATGAGTTTTACAATAAAAATGTACATCGGCTGCCTTGGCTGTGCACTCAGTCCGACAAGTGCCCACTTCCCTGGCTTCCTGAAGAAAATCCAGCCACACCAACACTTTGTGATATGTATATTTTGACTAAAGATTAATGAAGTCACGAGGGAAGACAAAACTTAGCAGATCCCTAAAACTTAGGACTACAACTTAGAAAATCTTTGGAAAGCATTATTCTCTTATATTTCTTCAGGAACAGCAAATGCATTCAAAGGCCGATACTAGCTTTTCATTAAAGTTTCATGTCTTTACAATTACCCACTTTTATTCTAAAATCATGTAAGCAGAAGCTCATCTCTTTTGCATGCCCTTTGCTTGGCCCCAGAGCCCTCCCCGTCAGATTCTGACCCTCCTCTTGGGTCAGTCTCCCTTACAGAGTCTCTGCTGCTGCATGGCGCCCACTTGATTCTTCATGTCTTTCCAAGGCAATAGAATTATCTTAGTCCCACGTCCTCCACACTTGCCTCCCCATGCCTATGCCAATGAAGTCAGCAATGCAGGGGCCCCTTGTTTTCCAAGATGTTCTCCCCCTTCTAGGGGAGTCGGAAGTTATAAAGAACAACTTTCCCCCCTCTGGTTGCATACACTTGTGACCACATTTACGATTTTAAAGCTTCAATCTTTGTCAAAATATATGACTTTGAGATAGCAGTGAGATATATTAGAAACTCGGGTTATGTCACTTGCAGGGTCTTATCCATGCCGTTAAATATTCAGTCAACTCTTTTTTTTAATTGATATCAGCCACTATCAGATAATTAATTTGTATGCCATTACTCAGTATAGGGCCTTCCCTAGGACCAATAATTGAAAGTAATTCTTCTTTCTTCTGAATTATTAAGCCCCCTTACCTATAGTTATTATACTTTGCCTTTTATGCCTTTCTTTAGAAGTGTTTATATGTACACCTTAATCTCGTGGTAGATCTATCTGATCGATCTCAGTATTATCTATTTCCCCTGATAAAGCACCTGTCAGGTAGAAATGCTGTCTGACTCCTTGATGGATGATGAACAAATGAATGAATTGACATGCGGCCCAAGCTTACTTAACACTCAGCCTTTGAGGTTAAAGTGAGTGTGTGTGTTCCTGGCAACAATCATAGAAGGAACAACTGTCCGACTTGCCACACAGGTTGGAGCCAAGTTCTTCTTTGCTGAGCATCCTTTAAATAATTAAAAACTCTGCAGAAGCCTTCGTGAGAATACAATAGAATAGCATCAGCATATGTGTGCAGGTCAATTAAATATTCCAGGGAAAGGAGGATTCTAGTTTTAAAAAGGTAATATCCATGTCATAATATCATTGTTAAATAGTTTCCTCTGTGACTCAGAAAAAAGAAAGAGGTGAATAATTTACTTTCTTCGTTTTGGCTCTCTTAATCTTCTTTAAAAGTGCTTTTGTATTTAGCCATAATAAACATTTATCATATTTTTATAGTCTTCCCTTGTATAACATTCTTTTTACAAAGTGAGCAACTCACTTTTTGTTTTGCAGTCAAAAAGGGAGAGGCATCTGATGATAGAGTTTCTTTTCACCAACCATAGCAATTTTTGCTTTCTCCATCATGAGTAATTACATTCCACAGCGTTATTATTATCTGCACAGACACTGTGTTCTTGTGGCAGTTTTTTCCTTTGTTTTCCTTGACGCCATCTCCTTTTCTGCCTTTTGGAACCGAATCTGAGAATGACAATTGAGGATTGCATTTATGCTCAGGATATATTATTTATTAAATTGAATATGAAAATAAGCTATAAATTACATGAACTTTGAAAAAAAGAAAATATATATAAGCATACAGAAGAAAATAAAAATCCCTTACACTGTTCCTACCCAGGGATAACTGTTATGAGTATTCTAGCAAACAGCCTTTCAGATCTTTCTCTTAAATTAAAAATATACTATTCTACCTCTCAAAATGAGACTACACTCCATGTCTGTTTGTTGTCTTTTTTACTCCATGTTATAGGTGTATTTTTAATGCACCATCTTGTTTTTATGTAACATTTCATCCTGTAGTTCTAACAGTTTATTAAAACTAAATTGGTTTTTCAGCTGTCGACAATTTTTGTCGTTATAAATATCAAACATTCTCATTTTGATGAAGAGAGAAGAGCTAGCGTGAGAATTGTCAGAATCTTACCCTCAATAATTTCATTGTAGAGAAATGTATTTTGCAAAATATATCGCAAATAATTGTAAAGCCGTGTGAGGACTGCAGATTTAGGTAAATTCCTGGAGGTTGCAGGCTGGGCTGTCTTCATTTTTATATCCACAGAAGGGACCCAACAAAATTTTGCACAGGAATACATATTTTACCCGAACTTTGATCCACTATGTTTTCACT